TCCATGAGTGGGTTAAAGTTGCCATTGCAGGAGTGGGATCATTACTGCAGGACACTCTGCATGCTTGCTCTGCCTCACCAAGTGAGGCCCTCCACTTTGTTATGACGGAGAGAGAAGGCCCTCACCGAATGCCCGCACCATGCTTTGGACTTCCCAGCCTTCCAGAACCATGATCCAAAAAACCTTCTATTCCTTATAAGTTTCCCAGTCCACAGAATTCAGTTACAGTACCAGAAAATGGCCTAAGACACTTCCCAAGTCCCAGGTCTCTTAGGGTGCCACCTACCTGTGATTTTACCCAGACTGGTTTTCTGGAAGTCAGGGTTCCTGAGCTCTTCCGGGCTTGCAGACTTCATAACAGAACTGATGGATGACAGGGTGCTGATCAGCTGTGAGTTGAGGGAACCAATCTGTGAGTGAGGTTCCCCAAAAGCTTCTGCTAGTTCACTATAATTCTCAGCCAGTAGTGTTTGCTGTTCTGCCAGCAGCTTCTGCACACGCTCAATGTAGTGATCCAGGCCAGTCACCATTCCAGATGGAGCCTGGGTCTGGGGGCCCTCCAGGAACTCCTCAACAGGCTCGTCCCCAACACCCACGCTCCTCCTGCTGCCCATCGGCCCCCCAGTCAACTGTGATCCATGTGGAGGCCCACATGCTATGGTCCTCATTTTGAGACCAACCAGGTAGTTGTCATGAATATTTATCTGTCCCACACCTGACTCTTTAGTCTTCACAGCCGATGGCTTATCAAATCCCAAATTGCCAGAAAGCACCGTCCCAACACCAACAGACCGTGTCTTGGTGGAGGAGTTGACGTCCTTGACGCGGCCCTCTCCTATGGCCACGGTCCGCATCTCCACAGTCTGGGTGCTGGTCTGCTTATCCAAAGTGCTCAGGGAAGTGTTGGTGCAGGATTCTACGAGGGTAGCTGTCTCCGTGTTGGTGCACTGGTGCGCCTGTTCCCAAACCGTGCTGGTGTGCTGGTGTGCAGTCGGAGGTGCTGCCATGACAGCTGCCTCCACCTGCACAACAGCCTCTGTGTTCACGCTCCGGGAGCTGCACTGCTTGGGAGCACAAACAGTCACATCGACAGAACAATCTCCACAGCCAATGGACCGCACGTCTTTGAGGTTCAAGTTAGTGGTGAGGAGCGCAAGGTTGCTCACAGACTCCTCTGTGTTGCTGCCTGTTTCGCAGACGCTGACTTCTACACCCACGCTCTCATCACGCATCTCCACAGACCTCCCAGCACCTCGGTCATGTGTTTCCACCCTCTCCTTAACAATCCACCAGTTCATGGGCAGCTCGGGCCCCACCACTTGGTTCCTGCACTCGGGCTGGCAGGAGATGCCTATGCTACTTGTTTGTACAGAGGTCCCAACGCACGTGTCTACCATATCCACGTGACGGCCAACCACTTGGTCTCTCATCGGCACCACTGCCTCCACCAGCTTGCTGAAGACAAGTGGCTGGGCCATCGTGGCTTTGTCGACTTTTTTCCTTGATCCAGCGGCCTGCAGTTCTTGTTTTAGTCTAGTCATCTCCCGGTCATGGGTGGTTTCTTTAAGCTGTACTTCCAGGCGGTAGATTTTTTCTTTTAAGGCCTCTATGGTCTGCTGTTGTAGCTCAATTTCTTTGTCAGCTTCCGTAGTCACTCCGAGCATGGCCTCTGTCACGTTGACCCCACAATGCCTCATCTCAGTGACTGTCCCTGTGGCTGCATCCTTGCAGGACCTAGAGCCCTGGTGGTACACAACAAGGTCATTCATGCTCTCATCATCACCCACAGCCACAGAGCGGCACTCACGAGGCGGGCACTCCCCATTCTCCCTGAGCTCTGAGTAGGCCTCGTAGCTGCTGTCCTGGATCTTCTGCTCCAGGGCCTGCATGTCTGCCGTGAGCTGCCGGAATTCCTTTATTCTCTGTGTGCTCTGTTCCACACTCTCCATCTCATCCTCCTCATAGTCAATGTATAACTCCCCGCCACTTCTCCGGGCTCGGGAGAGCTGCTCCATCTGGGAGGCATTTCCCGCACTATAGGAGCGCTTCCTCACACCACAGACAGCATTCTGGGATGCAGCCCTTTGAGTTTTCAGCTGTGAGGCCAACTGCCGTTTCTCCTCTTGCAAGACAGAGATCTTTACCTGGAGCACAGGGATAGTTCTCACCTGTTCCTCGAGTTCCTTTAGGCGTTTCAGGGCAATGGCCATTTGCTCGCGGATATGCTGCAGGTGCATGGGGCTCACATTGGTCACTGGGGTGGAGATCCCTGAGCTCAAGGGGCTGTGGCGGATAGAACTCCCCATGGAAGAGGTGGTAGCAGCCCCTGGGGCATAGCCCCCATAATCCCCATTGCCTTGGTATCCGTTCTGAAGCTGGTGCATGGCAGGATTGTGGTTTCCAGAACCCATAAAAGAGGGGAGGGAGCTTGTAGAGCCCATGCCTCCAAAACTGGCCAGCCTAGGCCTTCTGAACTCACTCGGTGTCATCTGCATGGTGACTCTCTCCTGTTCGAGCCTTCTCCGGGTCTCCATTAGTGTCTTGGTGACATGAAGGTTGTGCTTTGGGAGTTGTGGTGAAGGAGGGGGCAGCTGTCGATTTTCTGGGATGGTTAGAAAAGTAGGCAAGGTCTCCAGAGGGGCAGGTGGCTTTGGGGTTGGAGTTGATGTAACGTGGCTTCTGGCTAGGAGGAAGCTGGGGCACTGCTTGTTGTCATCACTGTTGGAAGATGAAAGGGATTCGGTAGAAGTCCACGCACCTTGCTGACCAGATGTGACCCTGGTTTCTGGGCATGGCACAGAAGGTTTCTTCTTCTTCTGGATGTTCAGTTTCTTGATGGTATTTCCCTTCTGTATGTCATCCACATATTTGAGGAAATCTAAGTCTAGTTGATAGCCATAGGGTGTCTCCACAAAATAAGGGTCTTTCTGTTCCTTGTCATGGTCTCCATTCAGAATATCATCTGCTTTTTCTAGGACAGAGAAGAGAATATTATAATACCATACATTGCACATAATGGCAAAAATAATTATTTGTGTATGTTGCAGAGCAGCAACCTGAAATAAATTTAAAAGAGCTGACAGACCTATAACCCTGAATCTACAACCTAGCTGGTAAGCAGTTGACAAACTTCTCTGAACTTCTATTTAACACATAAGGTTAAATAAAGTAATGAGAAAATGATTTTGATAACTAAGCACACAGTAAACCCTTAGCAAATTATTTACAAAAGAATGCATTAAAATAGGTTTTAAAGCACTGTCAAGTATTATCTCATTTGTCCTCTATAGTGTCCTGAAGGGTGGTGGATAGACATTAAGACTCCTATTTTATAAAGTACCCTCCAAAGCACAGAATGTTAAAATTCAGCTGAAGACTAACAGGTCAGGCCAGGGGGCCAAGGATGTGCATTCTGCCCCTGCTCTTCTGTAAGCCTCATAGCCTTTCTATCCAGTGGCCAAGAGCCACCTAGCACCTGCCCACTGGTACAAGATCCCAATTTGCTCTGACACTTTCTTGATAGAAATCTGGGACATAGGATGTTGGCTATTAACTTAGGAAGCATGGAAGCAAGAATCTGGTCAGAGGGCAGACTTCAACTCTACTTTCTGTGTCTCCCATTTATCAATTTCTCTCCCTGCTTAAAAATCAAACAAAATCCTCTCAACTATAGGCATTGTTTTCTCCACTCTTTTTTTTTTTTGAACAAAACATTCACTATTTCAAGAATTCTTGTTTCCTATTATTGATAAATCCAAACAGATGCAAAGGAAAATGACAACAAGAGCAAACCTATGTTCTAAGCACTGGATCATGTGGCATTCAGTAAAATCTACTTCTTGCTAAACCAAACATTTCAAAAAGGAAACAGGAACCTTTCAAAGCATAGACCTTGCTGCTGACCTGAGCTCTGCATTTCAAATTTAAAAGCAAGGCCATTTTTGTTTGTTTAAAGTGTGGGATTAAGTAATGTGTTTTCCTGGAGTCCCACTCACAAGTTCTACATTCTCAGGACTACAGAAAAAAAAAAAAAAAATCCAACTCCAGGAGTGAAAATAGAAACCATCTGTACCCCTGCCCTATCCTGAGTACACCCACCCACCTGATTGCCGTCAAGGTTCAAGGCCTGGCAATCATGGGCTGCCTATCTGCTCTCCCAGCCCCCAACACTGCTGAACACTACAGGGGAGAACACCAATGACCAATGCTCCCCCTGCCTGGCCCTTTCGCTTCCACTCTTCTTCTGAAATACTGGAAAGAAAAGTACAGAAAGCCTGCCAACCGGAGGAATTAGAGGAATTAAAGATCGTAAGCATTCTTCATGTCTCAATTTAAAACAATATTAAACTACACTAGCTGATAGAAGGTAGGCGCTAGATTTCATCTAAAAGCAGGCGGGAAAGGAATTCCGTTTGAAAGAAGGGCCGTGCACCAAAGCGTTTCTAGCTTAAGCACGGGAGAGCTGATCCACAGGGCTTGTGCACGGAAACTTGTGCTCATGCTAACAGAATGTTTTTTTTTTTTTTTTCCGTCTGGCTTCCCTCTCTAACTTTCAACTCCAGATGAACAAAGTGTTCACCACCCAAAATATGTGGCCAGACCTGTTTTCAGAGCTGTCTGAAATTTTGTAAGCAAAGAGAAAGGGGCAGGCTCGGGTGTCAAAGGAGCCGGCAGACAGATCTGCCACTCAACCCGGGCCCCAGCAGGCGGCTCTCAGCCTCCCGCGCCCTGGAGTCCGCAGCACTCACCTTACCGAGCGCCCCGCAGCACAGCAGCCGGCTCGCTCCCAGCCAGCACACCCGAAGCCCCGGTTCCTCTCCCCATAAGGAAAAGCCACTTAGTTCTGCCACGCGCAATACCATAGGCTGGGTTTTTACCAATGAAGTCTCCCTTCGGCTTCGGCGACACCACCCCCAGCACACTCAGCTGTTCGGCATTCCCTTTTTTTCTTAATGAAAACAGGAAACCGGCATCTTCTGAAAACGTGTGGACTTCATTCCAGTTTTGCCAGGAGTACAAATAAAGGCGGCAATGTAAGCATCCCCACAGAGTGGCTCTGTCTTTCCCGTGCCAGCCACTTCTTCATGAAAGAGCCTGTGTTTCCCGGAGTGCAAACCTAGCGGCCTGGGCCCTCAGTCACCTGAAGGAGGGCAGGGCCACAATCGGCCACTGTTCTCCGCGGTTCTGAGAGCCTGAGCGGTCAGCCGGGGCGCGCTGGGCCCAGAGCACTACAGGACCATCTCAGCACAGCTCCTGGCAAGTGACAAGCCACTACCCTTTAACACAGATCTCAGCGGGGGCCCTGCCACCGTTGAAAGCTTCTTTAAAGAAAATTAAAAACAAAACATTTTCTTAGGCTGGGGGTGTATTCTCAGTGGTAGAATGCATCCTTAGCAGTTCAAGAGCCTGGGTTCAATCCCCAGCACCCAAACCAACAAAATCCATTTTCCAGTTACAAGAGAGGTATGAAGTAAAAGGAAAAAAACCATACACAGATCATTTCAAGAAAAAAAAAAAAAAGAAATTCACTTGAATCTCAGGTGTTTTCAAGAAGAAAGGAAAGTCACCGGTATCTCAAGTGTGGATATTTTGGTATAAATGCTTCAAGGCTTTTTCTGCATAGGTCTGAACGCAGCTATTTGTCTCTCTGAAGCTTTAACAGGAAGGTAAGCTGACTCAATTTCAGGATTTAGAACACAACAAAACAAATGACACTTTTCAGCAAAAATTAACTGGCCCATCTTAGTTATTTTTTGAATTTCAACTTGTACAAATCACCGAAGGCCCTGGGTCATGCCAAATCATTACTAAGTGAATTTTGGACTTCTACCTCTGGAAATCAGGAGAAGTTAGAATTTAACCATGTTAGGTCTGTTTCCCAACGCTACTTAACCCGGGCTACCCAAGGGCCTTGTAATTCGTGTTTCATTTTCCAGCAACTAAAAAAGTGAGATGTATTCTCAAGGTGCCTTTTGTATAACAATTGTCCGTGGTACCAAGTGTTCTACAATTACATTAAAATATTCAGTGTCATTTTTTTTTAAAAATCTCCTTTCAGGGTATCTTTATATACATTAACATCAATGTGGCACTTATGGGATCTGACTTATTTCCGAATTTTTTGACGTATGTATGTGTCTCTGGGTCAATTGGAACATCTGAAGAATAAATGCAATCCCTCCCTCCCAGCACTGGGGATTTAACCCAGGGCTTTGTGTATGTTAGGCAAGTACACTACCACTGAGCTACATTCCCAGCCTTAACAAATATAATTTAAAATAACCTTCATTGCTCCCCTCTTCCAACCACACGGTAATTAGATGCTGGGATTAAAGTAGATGTTTAAAAATACTTACTGACAAAATAAATAATTGAATATATAACATAATAAACTTTGAAAAATATCAATGCTCTGAAGATAATTGTTTGTTAAATATTAGGGTTAAAGACCTTTCTTACATGATGCTGTTCCAGTAGTTGTTTTTAGGCTGTGGAATTATAGGTGATTTTCATTTTGTTCTTTGTATTTTGTGGATTTTTTACATCACTTGGGTATTTGTCTTTAAAGATGATTACAAGAAGTCACTGTTGGTAAAGCAAAAGGAAATGTATTGAAATAAACTCTGAGAAAGTTCAAGTGGGAAGGACATGAATGTAAGCAACCATGGCAAAGATAGTTAGTGTTCCTTGGTATGCATTTTCCTATCCTTCCATACTAAAAGCACCCCCTGTTATTTATATGGGCAAATATAAAGTCTATATCTCCCTGACCTCCTTTATTGTTAGTACAGCCACAAGCAGAAACGCCATGTAGCAATGCCTAGGAACCTCCAGTGAAGACATGGGAATAGTTCTTTGATCACCTTTCTTCTTTGTTCCTCCTTCCATCCTGCTACTGGAATGTAGATATGATGACTGGAATGCTAGCTGCAATCTTGGACTATGAAAATACACCAAGGGTTGGAGGAACCATGTGCTAGATGGAACTTAATCTCAAAAGGCTTTATGGACATTGACCTTAAAGAGCTCACCTCTGTACTTCAATGTGAAAGAGAAATAAATTTATTTTGTTTAGCTATTGCTTACCTAGGTTTTGATTACTTGGAATGACACTGAATTTTAACATGATATAGCAGTGTCTCCCACCAATTTAACACTGTATTTCAAAAAGCAAATGATAAATGATAAACTGGGGAGATATTACAATGAACCTTTTTTACAGCAAAATTTTCGTTTTTAATAAATCTTTAATTGGATTATGAGGAGATTCTTAACAGCCTAAAAAGACTTTTTGGACTAAGGAAACTATGCCTGCTTTACACAGCCAAAAATCCACTGGCTATATATCTGCAACTGAAGTCCTGGAAGTAACAGCTTCCAACCGGATACTCTGCCCCTGAAGTTTGTGAGAATTCTCTGGACGTCTGGAAATTCAGTGGAGACCCCTCCAGGCCCCACTGCTACCTGCTTTATATAGCATTAACTGGAAGTTTAACAGGGAGTGGAGAAAGGTTCTATTTAGTGAAAAGAGTAGGAGGAAGAATTTATAAGAAATGAGATACAGTCTAGCTGGGTAGTAAACGCCAATATAACCTGAATGGAGATCAGTCCCAAAGACTTATGATCAACAAGTCAATATGATGGTATGTGAATAAATGACCAAACAGAAGGGAGCTAACCAAGAATTGGCTTCCGAAGACCAGGTAAGTGAAGATAATTCCCTGTTGGAGGAAGGGAGGGACTGTCCTGTAGGATGTTTAGCAGCACCTGGCCTCTACTCACTAGATGCCAATAGCACCCTTTGCCCCCAGCAATGACAACCAAAAACAATTGCAGACATTGACAAATATCACACGGGCACACCTGTCCCTCCCTTTCCCAGTAAAGAGTTATCCAGCACAAAATGTCAACAGTGCTGAGGCTGAGGAAGCCTGTGCTGGGGACAGCAACCTGAGGAAAAACTCACAGTTAGCAACTGAGACTGTGGCCTCATAAACTGTGGCTTTTAGACCTTCTGTTTCCTAATAAGACCATAATACTATGTGTAAATGACAGGGTGACAAAATGCCACTTTAAAAAAATATATTTATTTTTTAGCTGTAGTTGGACATGATACCTTTATTTATTTTTATGTGGTGCTGAGGATAGAACCCAGGGCTTCACACCTGCTAGGCGAGTCCTCTACTGCTGAGCCATAACCCAGCCCCCAAAATACTACTCTTGAGTAAGACAGTACTCAGTACTGTACTCAGTACTTTTCTACAACTCTATATAGTGAGCTGTGTTTTAATATGAACAAAGAGCCTGGAAGGTTCTGAAATGATGTGTCCTGGTAGACTTTTAATGGACATGCCTTTGATATCATTACTTTATTCATTAATTAGGATACACCAAGTTCTTTGTTCTGGTTTCACTATGGCACACTATAGGCCCAATCACCAAATAATGGCATCACAGAGAATAATTACACCTGTGAACCAAAACCTGCATACGCTGTGTATGTGTCTGTCTTTACCAGATATTCTCCCTGACTGTTGAAACTGAAGAACTCTGTTAATTGCTAGTCATGCATTGTCCCCCCTCACAGGAAGCGTGGAAATTCAGCCCAGAGAGCTGAGTCAGTCCCAGAGGAGCACTTAATTATGAGAGATTCCCATATCTAGAAGTGGCAGAGCGCAAGCAAAAGTGTCCTGCTGTTGGAGGCAGGCACAAAGCCTTGTGTCAGCGAGGGCCTGCAGGCAGGGAAGAAACCTGGCAGGATGAACCCTAGAGACAGGCAAGCTCTGAGTCTAATTGCTCAGAGTATGAAAGTAAATGAGTTCGCAGATCCACTTCTCCAGGAAGGATGCAGTGGTAAAAAGACAGCACAGTGGAATGTCGTCCTTATGAGCGGGTTTAGCAGTTAAGCGTGCCCTGGTGACACTGTTAAGTTAAAAAAAGAGCATTAAGCTCTTTTGTACCCAAGGAGCTTCACTCTCTGCACCAAATCTGTGAGAAGAACACTGGTCTTAGAGAACCAGCAAAAAAGTCACCTTTTGGTTTTTAAGTGCATTGAGACCCTATTGCAATGTTTTCAACAAGAGGCTGGTAATTGAGTTTTCTTGTTCTATAGTAAAAGGATGTACGGCAGGTGAGATTTTCCTTTGCTTTTGCATTTACCAAGAGGTTTTTTTTTTTTTTTTTGAGAGAGAGAGAGAGAGAGAGAATTTTTTAATATTTATTTTTCAGTTTTCGGTGGACACAATGTCTTTATTTTATTTTATGTGGTGCTGAGGATCAAACCCAGCACCCCATGTATGCCAGGCAAGCACATTACCGCTTAAGCCATATCCCCAGCTCCAAAGAATTATTCTTAAACCTGCTTTCCCCCCCAGCTAAACACCATCCATCCATTCATCCATCTGAAAGATGGGCACCCACAGAGTGTTAGGCACTGTTCAAGAAGGTGTGATCACTCTTTCCATGGAGATCATACTTCCTATTTCAAGTTCACCAATATCTTAGAGCTGCCTGAATAGCTACCTGAATACATCATACAAATAAAGTAACATTAAAGAAAGCAAAGCTGTGCATAAGAAGTACTAAGCCAATCATGCCATATATAGCTAAGTGCAATTTTATAGGCTTGGTTTATTTGTATTGCAAAGGTATAACAGGGTGCTTCTAAATAGTCATGACTCTTTGTAACTCCTTTTGGCTTTTCTCCCTAAATCTTAAGATGTCTTCTCCCATGCCATCTCATTACTGCCTTTTTAACCTGCCTGCGGACAATTCACACTTCTTCCACTGTCTCCTATCACTACCCGTCTGTCTCCACACTAGTTCCACATTCCAAGCTTACTGGGAATAGTCCTACACTTTATAAAGGGAATGCTGATCCAAGGAAGATGTGCCTGTCATACTGAAAGACAGATTTCATTCAGTAAATATTTACTAAGAACCTATCAGGTGGTAAACACTACAAGGAACTAAGCAAAAAGTTGTTTTTAGTCCAAGCAAAAAGATATCAAGCCCATCCAGGTGGAACTTAAGACCACAGGAGGAGACAAATGGTGGCACAAATAAATAAAACCGTACAGTACAGTCATGCTGTCAGGACCCAGCAGGGTCCCCCACCCCTGGGGCAGTGGGCTGGGAGTGATCTGCCAGAGCCAGATCTGAGGGGTTCACCAGGCAGCCGGAGTATGTGGCGGATGGCAGGGAAACAGCATATGTGAAACCTGCCACTTTTAGGAACAGAAGGGGGGACTTAGTAAGACCTAAAGTGAGGCAGAGAGGGAATATAGCCCAAGCCCTATAGGGTCTAGAAGTCACCTTTTGGTTTTTAAGTGCATTGAGACCCAATTGAAATGTTTTCAACAAGGGAGTGAAATGATCAGATCTGCATTTTAATAAGACTGCTCTGGCTACATGCTGGAGTATGCATGAAAAATTTCTTCCACATTCTCCATTAGGTTCTCCATGAATTGTTTCCGTGAACTTTTCTCTTAATGTCACTAGATAGATACCAAGTGTGGGCTACGGTATTAAACCATCTGAACCTCAATCCTGCCTGTGTTGGAGCTAGCTGGCTTGTGTAATACTCCCCTCCTCACCCCAAAATGTTGAGAAGAAATCTGAGAATGCCTGATAAACTTCAGCTACTTTGGGCTGAACTGGAGACCAGGATCAGGGCTCTGGATTTGTCCTTGAGGGTTTTACCCGTTACCTCATGCTGCTGTTTAAAAAGAAAATATTTTTCTTTAACAAATGGATGACTCATGCAGAGAAAAATGATGGGATTTCCTTTTCTGAGGGTCATTAAAGTCTGATAAATCTAATCTGGGAAGGACAGATGTGGCATGAATGATGTCGGGAAGAAAGCAGAGAGGACATTTAAGGAACTGAGGCCCTCATTTAGCATGCTGAGACATGGAATGCAGACTGTGGGGTGCTCTGTATTTGGGGACTCTAAGATAGAAACGGCAGAGGACAAGTGTCTGGAGCAGGGGGACAGACAGCAGTGATGTTTCCAACCTTTCATATGCTTCTTCACTTATGCCTGCTCAGGGAGCCTGACTTGGCTGCCAGGAAAAGCCAAAAGCCAAGGTTGGAGCCTGGGGGCACTTAAGCAATACATTCCCCAAATTCAAAATTCCTAGTAGATGGTCTTTGCAAGTTGAATTTTGGGTCTGCTTGTCTCTAGAGTCACTTAAATGTTATTATCTGCCTGTCCGACAAGGATCTTGCTGGCAGTGACTCATACTGCCCAAAGTACATACAACTTCTAGGGCTCCAACAGAGTTAACACCCACTGCCCCAAATTATTATTCTCTCATCAACACACATCAGATTAACTCTTTCAAATCATGTCAGGAGTCTGCTTGGCTCATAAATTCTAAACTAGGTATCTGCAAGTCCATAATGCCATAATAAATAAACAGAGAGTACCGTCTAATAAACAGAAGGAATCATAGAAACATTAAATCACCCTGTGGAAAACACCATCACAGTGGCTGATTCAGGCAGCAATCATCAACAGATGCTAAAGCTAGTGGATAAACTGTTTCCTACCAAAGACAAGGAGACTCCTGTGGCCTCAGAACACCTCACCACTAAATAGATGATCAACCCACAAGGGAAACACCATGAAAAAGTTGACAGGCAACCAACTGGACCAGGTGCTCAAGTTGACAACATGGCCCTCTGAAATATACTAGCTGCACATCAGTTCTGCAGCATCCTGCCAAGAATGTGTAAACTGAGTCTAGAAACAGTGATGGACAATGTTTATAGCAGCACAACTCACAACAGTCATGCTATTGAACCAACCTAGGCATCCTTCAGTGGATGAATAGATAAAGAAAATGTGGTATGTATACACAATGGAATATTACTTGGCTATAAAGAAGAATGAAATTATGGCATTTGCCAGTGAATGGAGAATATCATGCTAAGTGAAATAAGTCAATCCCCAAAAAACAAAGGCCAAATGTTTTCTCTGATATGTGGATGTTAACAGAAAACAAGGAAGGGTGAGGAGGGGAAGAACAGAAGTCCATTGGATTAGACAAAAGGGAATGAAGGGAAGAGAGGAAGGACAGTAGAATTAATTGGATGTAACTTTCCTAGCCTTGTATTTGAATATACCACCAGGGTAACTCCGCATCATGTACAAACATGAGAATAGGATCCTAATTAGAGTAAGTTATACTCTATGTATGTATAGTTGGCCAAAAATACATTCTACTGTCATGTACAACTAAAAAGAATTGAAAAGAAAGAAAGTCGCAGC